ACAAGGAGCTTTCATTTTTTGTTGATTCTGGTGACCCCTGTGGACAAAAGTGGTAATATTTCCACAGCCTTGGTTTATTAACTGGTTTCAGGCATTAATAACAATATAGAAACAGCAGAACTTCTCACTGATGGTTTGTTTGTGTTGTTCATATAAAGGCTTCACTATTAAACTGAGACTGTTTCAGTTAAAAACTCCTTGTAGTACGTTTAAATTATTATTATGCAACTGAAGGTTGTTATTTTGATATAATCATCAATACTCTTTGTATTCAATATAGTCTGATTTGATTTGTTCATTTTCTTTAGCATTAAATAATTTACTGTTTATATATTTGACTAATTAATCAAACAAACTACTGTAATGACCCAAAAGTTATTACATTTAAAACAGAGAAAAGCTGCTTTAGAAGCTGTGACCAGATAATAATTAATAATAATGTTATTTTTTTAATAACCTAAACAATTAATCATTTTCCAAAATTGTTGCTGTTTTCTCAGTTTCAGTGTATTTATTTCTAGGAAGTTAAAGGTAAACTCAGGTATGTTGGTAAATATACTGTTTACTGTCATACAGGAAGTTAGATGAGAAGCTCCAACCTACTTGTGGTGCAACTCGTGGAACAAAATACATTTTCTAAAATGCAGTTTTCCCTTGAAGTTGATTTATTTTGGTTACGTTTACGTGAATCTTCTTGTAAAAAATCTTTCTGGTTTATAGTCAACAGGGCGTTCACGTTTGATTTATGAACATATAAATAGAAACTGCTCTACTGAGGTTGCTGATGAACGTACTTTGATGTCACAGCGAGCTCTTATCTACTTCCTGTGTGTTTACGTCTCGTAGGTGAAGAGGGGAAGTTTGCCTGAACAACGTAGCGCAGCTGCAGCAGTTCCTTCACCACGCAGAGCTTCAGACCAGCCGCACAACCAGCTGGTACATACACACACACGCACACACCCTGTACCCCACAGTCCTGTCAGATGAACTCAAGTAACCCATCATCAGCACCACCTTAATGTGTTCATTTGAATTGACTTTATATAAATATCTTTTTTGATATAAAAGCAGATATTGCCACAGTGTTTTTATTTTTTTAAATAAGTTTAAATACAGATGTTGGAAGTTTTTCCTTCTTTTCCAGGCCAAGAGAGCCGGTCTGGAGGAGAGAGCTCACACCATCGGTCACACGGGAAGAAGCAGCCCCATCAGCTCTGCTTATCCTCCCCGTCGCACGTCTGAGACCATGCCCCTCCCTCAGGTCAGCCTGCTGTCCTGCCTCCTCTAAGAGCTACAACGGGTCTTTTAGAGGGTTTCCAGGGGGTCTAATTGATTGTCACTATAATTCTACCTATAAAAAACAGAACGTTTTGGTTTCATACACCTTCTGTAATAAAACATCTCAAATCAGATGGGGGACCCTGGGACAAAATTTCTCTAAAATGGGGGTCTGTGGTCTAATTGTCAGTTTAGGGGTGACATGAAAAAGTTTGAAAACCACTGAGCTACAACACACATGTGCTATGATGTTGGCTGAAGTCCAACACATGATTGTTTTTTCAATAATCAATTAATCTGTAAAAAATCTAGAACCCAAAGTGGCATCATCAAATTACTTCAACAGTCCTAAATACAAAGATATTTGACGTATAATCAGAACACGCTGGAGATGTTAGAGTCACTAGAAGCACATTCATGACCATTTGTAAGGTTTCTGTGTGCTACCGGTGTTATAGCTAAGCTAACAGCTCAGAGAGTAACTCACCGGTGTGTGTGCGTGCAATCAACACTGCAGTCCGTTGGTGTTTCCACAGCGTCTAAATAACTGTGCTAGAATATAAGAATACAAAGTGGAGGGTTAGCAAAGACCAGTAACTCCTGTGAATGATGCATCTCCATCAGTATACATTTAAAAATGAGTGCAGCGGTTTCACAGACTCCCACCCGAGGCGGAGGCTGGTTAGAGAGCGTTAACACTTTTTCTTATATAAATGTCACGAGGTAAATTAGTCCCAAGCATTGAGGCTTACAAGGCTCAGGGTAATTTAAAACAGTCGAGGGCGAGTTGAGACATTTTTTAACCCACAAAATGCAGATTTTCTTAAATTTGAACACCAGCATTGATTGTATTAATGTAGTTTACAGCTCTAAAAACACCTTTCAGGGTGCAGTACCTCTTTAATAAGTTACCCTTTAACAGCAGTGTCACTTATTATTAAACTAAAGTGTTTGCATTGAGTTGATTTGAGTAAGTTGGTTTCCCTCTGCTCTCCCACAGAGGGCGCAGTCCTCGGTGCAGGTGAAGGCGCTCTATGACTTCACCGCGGAGGAAGACGACGAACTCGGTTTCTGCGTCGGGGACGTCATCGAGGTGTTGGATCGCTCTGACGCGTCATGGTGGAAAGGGAAGCTGCGGGGGAAAAGCGGGCTGTTTCCTGCCAACTACACGTTACTGCTGTGAGAAATCCCCGGGCGACGCACTTACTCTGCACACTTTCACAGACTCGCTCTGCAGGTGCAGCGGCTCTGAATTTGTGTTTCTGAACATAAACTCTGAGCAGTCAGTGACTCATGTAATCTCTGCACCGCACTTCGGCGCTTCATCAAGGCGCTGGTGCCCAAAGGACTGAGTCAGTTATATTAAAATCACATATATGCTGCCACTCAGTGCGGTGCTGGTTCAGGTTTTATTGAAAAAGGACTCAGGAGCAGCTGCAGATGGCACCGAGGAATGTCTTATTATTGTAGTTACAGCAGGTATTTATTTGCATAACGCTGGTTGGCTGGTCTGCTGATGAATCGACTGTTTCTGCTCATGTTTGTGTAAATGTAGACACATTTTATACCACAAAAACCTTTTTGTATGAAAAATTCAGTAGATTTCAAAGTGCTTAAAATAGACGTGTAACTTCCTCGCTGCTCATTGACTTGGAAATAAAAATGTTTTATCACAGATTTGATGTTTAAATCTAATTCTGGCTTTTATTATAACACCTAATTTGGATCATCCATCTACAGTTTATAGAGTATTTGTAACATTTGCTTTGTCTGTAGATGTTTAACACATTATCTATATATAATCTATATATAAAATAAAGTATGTGCGACAATTCATAAAAATACCCTGGACTATCAAAATGAAGTGGAATCCTTTTTTCTTCCTACATTAGATTCTTTTATTTTGATATTTTTAGGGACCCTGAAGTTAAGTTCTGCCAAAATAAAAACCACAAGTAAGGAACATTTAGTTTTATTTAATATTATTATATTATAATAATTCATAAAAATAACATTCATCGCATTCATTTTGTATAAAGTGAAAATATTAAACAATAATTAACTAATTAGTCTGTCCGGCTCTGAACCAGTGTGTTCTGGCCTTTGAACAAATGCAGTTGATGGCTTTTCAAACTGTGGTCCGGGGACCAATGGGGGTCCTTGAGTGGGTTATAGAGGGTCCACAGCAAAAGGAGGAATAAAATATTTTAACTTTTGTAAAAATCTAACAAAAATCTAAACATATGCAGCCACAGTGAGACCTTTTACTCTTTTAATATGTCTGAATCAAACACATCTGTATACTGGGTATCAGTAAATTAGTGTTTATAACCAATTTATCTCAACATATTTCAATCTTTTTTCTCGACATATTGTAATTACTGTTTCATTGTGAGGTTTTAGAACATTAGGGGACAATATTTAGTGTTTTTTAAGTCCTAAAAACTTTTTATAATGAGCACAAGACGAAGGTGGGAAGCCGTTTTTACTGGCAGGATTACTGTAGTTTACAAAAAGACAAATAGGAAAACATGACATTAATTCAAAGTCCTGAGACTTTAGTTTACAGTGTTTCTCTTAATGGCATGTTGGACAACAGGAAAATGGCGGGTTAAATAATCATAAATGTATCAGTATATCTGTGTGAAACCCGTCATTACCTACCTACCCTGGCTGAAAGTGATTGATGGTTGATTTATGGTAAATGGACTTTGATTATATGGTGCTTTTATAGCAAAGTGCCTTTCATGTGCCCACGCACGCATTTACATCGATGGCAGCGGGTTCAGTCTCTCACTAAGCGACACTTAAACATGTGAACAGGAGGAGTCAAGGATCAAAACACCGACTGTCAGAATCTCCTGAGCCACACATACCTCGCAATGTGGTCACAGGGGACTTTTCATCTTTACAAGCTGCCGAGAAGCACCTGAACGCACCATAAAAATGTACAATTTTTTACAAAAAATAATGTTAAATTTAAATTGGCTGCAGTTTAATGAGGAGTTAAAATGAGAGAGAGACAAAATCAGGTTTACATGTGACTTGAGCACAGAAGGTGGATGCAGTAGTTGTGCACATATTGTACAGGCGGAGGACAAAAACAGTACAAAAAGGGAAAGTAGAGGCTGTCAAATGTTTTCTTTTTATTATTGATTCAGTGTTTTTACTTTGCATTCAGTTTTAATTTGACGTTTCCCAGAGAAAAGTACCAGTTTAATGATGTAAAAATACTCCAGTACAAGTCAAACTCCTCCCTAAGTAAAAGTATTAAGTAAGTATTATCAGCAAATTGTACTTAAAGTATTAAAATTAAACATTGTTACACTTTTATATCTGATATCATTAGAATGTAAAAGCAGGATTTTGCTGCTAGTTGGTTGAACTTTTCTATACTGCAACAAATTGTATTATTTTATCATATTTTCATTATGGATCCATCTGCTGATCATTTTCTCCAAATTCTGAAAATGGTGAGAAATGTTGTCTCAATTACCCAGAATCCAAAGCGACACCTTCACAATGGCTGTGAGCCATTAAATGTTTTTACATGAATAACAATCATCCAAAGAGCTACTAATTTACTTAATTTAGCTTTATTTTCTGCTAATAAATAAATAAAATATTGACAACAACATTGTTTTGTTTGTTAAAATCAGAGTAATCGAGTATTTCC